CTTGATAAAGTCTTCCTTCTGGTGAAAAAATTGTAATGTGACGATCGTAACCTGCTGATGAACCTAAGGATTTTCAACAATAAAAAGATCAAATTTGCTGGTGCTAGTATAATCATTAACAATACAAAAAGAGTTCCTTACCACGACTCATAATTTTTATATATGTAATAAATATAGTAAAGGAAATTCAATTTCATGTGACCAATTTTTTATTTTTTTTATTTGATTGGATGATCCCATACAAATTATCAACCAATGAATGACAAGTAGATGTTGAGATGGCAACGGATAAACATCATTTATTCCAACCAACGAGAAAGAAGTTGAAGGAGAACATTCCAACACCATGTATTCCAATTAATGATGCTGTTACTACCTTTGAAACTGTTCATCATTAAACTCACATTTACCATTAACAAACAGCAGTGCCATATTCTGCTTGTTATTTTCATTATAAATTCCTTGTTATTAGCGATGCGATCCGCAGATATCCATTCATTCCAAGATTGCCATTTAAAAATCCAGTATGTTATAAAAAGATAAAACAATCATGAATTTTATTTATTTATTATACATTTTATTTGTGTCCATGACTTTAAACATAAAATTGTGATTATTTAACTCGCACGTCATCAAGTCACTTGTTGTGCTTAGATACAATTAATTTAAAGGGCTATTTTATTTCTTTTGCGTCAATCTTAAAGCTTTCAACTAAAATTAAATCGAATCGAGATTAAAGCCTTTATTAAAATCACCTTTTTTGAGTTAAGCAAATAAAGATTCCAAGTTATCAATTTTGCAAATTTCTTGATTGAATTTCACAACACCTTTAGTATTAATAATGACGTTTGTTACTCTCTTCTTGGCATTATCTTATTTATTATTAATATTTTGTTGCGATGTATTTCAACGTGCGCGCTATTTAATTTGTATTGATCAACAAAGTTGAGTAAGTAGTAACATTATGTCCAATACAGTATATAATAAACAAGTCGAGTTCCATGTATTTTAGCAAAAACTTTTTTTTCTTGAGACTTGAAAATAATTAAACCGCATCCAAAACTATGCGCTGGTAAATAAATACCCCATTCAATTTTGATCCTTTATTTTTATTGTCATTGATTAAATTCTCTCCCCCAAAAATTAATCGTTGACAATAATAATTATAAATTTTTTTGTACACAAATGTCAAAGGCCGATACAACCCTATTGATTAAAAATCAATGTTTTATCAATTATTCTTGAGATTATATTGTTCGTGTACTATATTACTACAAAAGGATTATAGGTGTGAATCAAGAGCATTTTTTAAAGGTTTAAAGTCATGTTTCACAACGCACTGGATGGTTATCTTAATGCTGAAGAAAACTTGTTCAAAGATCAGTTTAGGAAATTTGCATATTATATACTGGTATAAAAAATAAAGGAGGGCGAAAATGAAGAATCCCTTGGAATATTTATCATAAATATTGGGTGTTCTGAGCCAGAATTAGAGAAAATATTTGAATACCACTATAACTAATATAGAATTGAATATAGAAGAAGATTATTTATACCAAATCAGAGATTTGGATGGTGTAAAGATGAAGTTTTGACTGATATAAAAATTATTTTTCTTTAAATATACAAGAGGGTTCCGGTACACCTACATAAAAATGAATATTGTTTCAGCTTTAAAAAATTATATTCACAATTAGCATTATTAATTCACAAGATTTTATGAATGATCCAGCACAATGCATAGAAGATTTATGGATCACTTGTCCTGGAAGGAATTTGATTTGAGTGAAATAAATATTTCTAAAAATCAAAGAAATTTAACTAGATACTTGGGATGAGTATATATGAATTGATTGATGAAAATAATGACAATGAGAAAGGTTCTTTATTCTTCCTCTTTCTTCATATCAAGTTGGATATTTCCTAGTTGATCAATCATACTGTATCTGATTTTGATGAAAGCAGTGTTCATTGAAATAAAAATCCTGAGGAAAGTTTAAGAAAAAATAAACGACAAAGACAAGGAAATAATCATATCAAGAACATAATTTCCCGATAAATGTAAAAGTATATTATGGAAAGAAGATTTTTATGATCAAATATTTAATTTAAATAAAAAGATTTGTAATTATTTTATCATGAATTGTATTTAAAAATATTATTGTTTTATTAGCACCATTTCATATATTTTAGATTTGAAAGAAGAAAAAAGCATTCATGTCTGTTTGATAAAAATCATTTTTTTTAATTTTAAAAATATAATTATATTAGAAATCATTATAAAACCACAATTGCCCTCTACTGAGAAAGAATGTTACCTAGGAATGAAGATCTTTCAGAATGAAGGCTGGTATATATTCACTCAATAAAGAATCCGCAGGAATAGATTGATTGTGGGTGTGGATCCAGGATTAAGGGCATTTCTCACTGCAGTTGATGGTGATGATAATTTAGGTTGTAAAAATATCGAAAAAACACATCTTTAAAATTACAAGAGTTATCAGCAAGTGTTTATAATCATTAAATTTATTATTTTTATTATTTTATGCAGCTTACATTAATTATAATAATCTATATTAAAATGGAAAATATCCATTATTGATTGGGCGAAGCTATGCTGGACAAAAGTATACCACATTTTATTGTAAAGAAATAATTGCAACATTTTGTTCCAAAAGTTGCAATGTTTTATTGTAAATAATGCAACACTTTGATTGTAAACTATAACTAATATGAAATCATATTTATCATCATATATGTTGACAAATTACAATGTCATTTGCTGTTTTTCAAATGACCAAGGTCATTTGGTATATGAAATTAATAATAAAATATTATATGTCTAGGTCATTTCACAAGTCATTTGTCAACACTGCAATAAATATTATATTCGTAATCCTTAACATGCAAAAACATATAATCATGTGATACATCAAAAATGTCAATGAAAATATACAGTCAGACCTCCATAAATGCACCCCCCTTGGGACCAAGGGACACGATGAACGGCAGTTACAATAAAAAACTCTTCAATTTGTTTCTGGTATTCAGTTGGATCTTTTTGAAAAAGATAGTTGCGAACTGAATTATCTAAACTTGGCACAGCGTGCATTTATGGAGAGAAGCAATTTCATTGGTCACAATATTTTAAATACAGTAATACTAAAATAGCTATCCATTGTAGTTCGTTTTGATGAATTTACTTTTTTTATATTGATATATCTTTCAATTTTATTAACCAATTTTATTTGTTTGTAGTTTTATTTTTCTTGCTGTAATAAAAATGAATGTACAGTTTCAAGACCTTTAATGCTTCCTCAAGGCTTAATGTCATCTTCTCAAAATTGTCAGCAGGTACATTCATTTTATTTTTATATATTCCTACAAGTTCTTTAATTAATTTATATCATCTGGACAATATTTTCTTCAGGGATATTCAAAAATTCATCAACTTGCATTTTATCAAATAGGATGAAGGTTCATTTAGTGACACAAAGTCATGAAATTGGATTGCATTACATATTGGAAATTATCCAATCAATCAAAAATTTTTGCTGATGATTTCTAAATTTATCCTAGTTACATGATGAATTTTATACATTAGTCACATGGGGTGCATTTATGGAGGGAGTTTTCATATGAGTGGACTGAAAAAATACCATGCAGTGCAGAGTATGGAGGGTGTGCATTTATGGAGGGTGCATTTATAGAGGTCTAACTGTAATAAATTTTCTTATAAACATTATCCTAAAATTGCTTTTGTTGTTTCTTCAAAATTCTTCTCATTACTACTCTCACACTTTGGTAAATAAATAAAAAAGCATATATAATAAGTATTCATTGTATTCATTGTGCTAATAATTAAAAGTTTAAAAAACATGATTCAAATCACAATCAACAAATCTTTATTGATAATTGATTTTCACTTCAAACAAATTACAAAAACATTGAATTTATATTCACAATAAGAACCTGAGCTATTGCGAAAAATGTTTCAACATGATTATCTTTCTAAAAATGGATTTAATATATAATCTAATAAATCACTATGAAAATTTCAAAACTTACAGTTATAAAAATAGTATCAAATAAAAGCTTGAAAATTACACTTTCACTTAATGGCTGTAGATTTTTAAAAATTTTAACAAAAAAAATTTTTTTTTGCATATAACTTTTTTTTTATAAACAAAAATTTAAAAAAATAAAGCCATTATGTTGAAGTATTCATTATTTAGTACCTATATACTAATTTCAAATGGAGTTTTATTTGAGAAATAATGTGGAGATAGAGTTTGAATTTTGTTTATTTTTTATATTAAAATTTTTACATCTATTGATCAACAAAAAAATTCCGCATATATGATTTTTTATATGTGTGCTCAACTATGTTTGTGTTTATGCTGATATGCAGCACCCCAATCATTGATCATACCTATCATTTCCATTTTTAGAATGTGTTAGTAATCAATATTTATTGGATAAAATCTTGTAAAAGTCACATTATCTCTACTACTGCTCTAAGTAGTATAAATAATTTTGAAATTTCCTTCAGTGTAAGTAAATCTTCTTGGTAATAATAAAATTACAACTATAGTTGGCTTGGTCTAAAGATCTCCTAAATTTTTAAAAGTATAGAAGTCACTTTTTGACCTACTGCGAGTGTGCAATCTGAGTTTCCTAATTAGTGAATAATTTTATGTTCAACACACAGCTAGGACAGTCCTTCGTCTACTGTTTTACAGTTGAATCCACTCTCTGCCTGGCTAGTCCTAATGTTTTGGCACACAGCTAGGGCAGTTCTTCGCCTACTGTTTTACAGTCAAAACTTCTTTTATCCCCCTGGATAAAAGATATCTAGGTTATTTTATTAATTATACCTCAAAGGCGTCCCCTTGAGATGTATCTGAATAATTAAAGGGTTTCAAACTAACAATTAAAGGCTGGTCAGACCATTAACCATTAGTTGGGCTGGGGGGCAATCACACTGGGTTTATTAGTTACTTACAGTCAAAAAATATTTTATGTAGGGTTATATATATTCAATAAAACCCGAAACAATTGTAGAACCATCGCATGATGACCCTATATTTTAGATTGAAACCACCATCAAACGAAAATTTGGAAGCCTTGATTACGAGGAATTGAAAGAGGTTTTAGAACTACCATCTTTTGTTGAGATCTTGATGATTCAATTAATCCTTTGCATAGCTAGGAATTTGTGGGACCCAAGATGTAATTCAGCAAAGAAGCTATGACATGGCTAATCGATGCTCTCTTTGCATTGAAATATTCATTTTTGAATTTCGGCAAAAGGAAAACAATCATGATACCAGCATGGCTAAGAAAGTTTTTATCAGCAAATGATTGCTGTGCCACGGAACCAATTTCAATCACATGACAAAATGACCAATGGTTGAAAAATAAAAATAATGAATTTTTTATTAATTCAAATTAAATTAAAATGTTTATGTAAAGAATAAAATCTAAACCGTTTTTTTTTTAATTGAGGACTAGGTTAAATTAGATAGTAAAAAAACACGAATATCATTACCAAAAATGCCTTATATATATAATAAAGATATTCTCTACATACAATCAAAATCATTACCAGGCTTTTTTTTTTTTCTATTGGTTTTTTTATTACTAATTTTTACTTTTGTGGTTGTGTCTTTACCATCTTTATCAACATCCTTTTCAGGATCTATTCCTTTTTCAGGAACCCATTCAGCAACCCACACAGATTCTTGACTGTTTTCATCATTTCCGTATTCACCGTATTCACTAGTTCCTTGTCCACCATCATTTTCTAGGTCGTCAATATCTTGATTTTCACTATTTTCAATTTTACTATCTTCATTTCCACCACAGACTCCTCCTTTTATAATTTGATTGTCAACATCACTCGCTTCTCCATCTTCATTTTCGTTTTTATTTTTATTATTATCATCATTTACATTATCATCCAGAGGTTGATCATTATTATGATCACTGTCGGTTGAATTTTGACGCTTTTCTGGATCGTTGTTACAATCATTGCTAGCTGAATTTTGACGCTTGTTTGAGTCCCTGTTACGATCACTGTTAGCCGAATTTTGACGCTTGTTTGGATTCTTGTCGTGATCACTGTTAGCCGAATTTTGACGCTTATTTGGATCCTTGTTGTGATCACTGTTAGCTGAATTTTGACTTGGTGTTGAAGAGGATGGTGGGGGTAATATTTTATTAAATATACCCTTGATATTACCTCCGATTAAACTTGAATTTTCTTGTAGTTCATCATTCAAAGGCGGATGATCTTCTGCTGTAGGCGATGGTGGTGCTATAGATCGAGGGAAAACTTTTGCATGAATGCAAACTTTACTTTTACTCGAATCATTCAATTCCGTTCCAATCAAAGGAAAATAACAAATATCCACAACATAATCATCCAAACAATCATCATCCCATTGTCCTTTCATAAATAGAGGATTTATTTTTACATCTTTTTCAAACCAGAGTGTCTCACATTTTGGTTCTTGAACTAATAATCGAAATTTAAATATCCTAAAAACATCTTTGATAAGATTTTCTGCCATATTTTCTACATTCTTTCTTTTAGTATCATTTTTGATATAACGATATCCTGCCATTAATTGATTAAGTTCTAATGCTGTGGATGATATGAATGGATGCATATATTGTTTTTTATTATTTTCACAAGTCTCTGAGAATCCAAATTCACCTAATATACCATAAACTTGTTGACGTATCTTTGTTGGAATAGCTTTAATCACATTATTATCTTGTTCAAAATGATTATTATAAAATTTATCAAGGAGAAATATTAATTCATTTGTATGATTCATTATATATTTTTCCTGATTATTGGGATTATTTGTATCATCATCTTCTGTAATATCAAGATAATTATCAATATATTCAAGAATTTTTTCTAAAATATGACGTTGTAAAACTGATTTCATCAAAATTTTATTATTTTTATGTTGATGTATATCTAAATTATATTTTCCATACAATTCTTGAATTTTATCATTATCAATTTCTATAAAAGAACCTTTTAAAGCTGTGACGTATTTTTCAAGTCTATCCTGTAGAGAAGCTATATCAGTTGAAAGTTGAACTGAATTATTCAAATGGACATTTAATGCATCACCTAAAGCTGATTGATATGACGAAGCTTCTTTTCTTAATTTGTCGTTTGTAGTTCTTAATTCTTGATTTGATTTTTCTATGGCTTCAATCATAAAAACTTTGCTACGAATATCTGTTTCAAGCTCAATAATTTTTTCGTCGGGATAATCTTTATCCAAGTTGTTATTAATTCTTTTTTTGTCTAAATTAAGTTTTTCATTTTCTGCTTTTAAATCTCTGATTATCGCACTGTAATGTCTCTCGGCTTCTTTTTGATATTGAAATAATTTATCGTTATATTCTATTTTTAAATCTTTAAAAATATTTTCATATCTAGACAAATCTTGATTCAAAGTATAGATTTCTTCTTTGTATTTTGGTTCAATTTCTTTTTGATATTTAGTAAAATTAGCAAAATAGAAATCTTTCTCTTGGGATATAACTACCTTCTCCTCTTTTAATTTTCTAATGTTTTTATTGTAAGCTGGTTCAAGGATGTCTTGATATCTGGTTAAATTAAACTTATAGTCTTCTTTTTCTGTTTCTAAATCTTCATTTTTTTTTAACAAATCAATGTATTTTTGATAGTAATCGATGTTTTGTGAGTATTTGTTTTCAGTATTTTCTTGATCTAGGCAAGTTAATCATTTTCAAATTGAGTTATTTCATTCCAAAGTATTCAAATATTATTTATTGTATTTACTTTGCAAAAATAAAAAAAAAATAAAAACAAGTACTTACTTATATCCACTAATCCATCTATAAGTCCAGACGTAGTCATTTATAAATCATATAAAATTCTGCGCAACGAGGAGAAATAATTAGCGAGCTGATCTTTTGTGGTGTGCAACATTTCAAATCCGGCTGTAATATTATTGAACAATCAGTCCCTCCATAAATGCACCCCCTTGGGACCGAGGGACAGCGTGCATTTATGGAGGGTGTGCATTTATGAAGAGAAGCGATTTCATTGGTTGCACGTGATACACATTATTTTAAATTAAAATAACTATCCGCTTGATGATCAACAGCCATTGATGCCTATATATTAATAAGATATTTGGTCAATCATGGAAAATCATATCATCATTGTACACCACCATCTTGGAATGTTCTAGTAAAATTTTTTTACGTGAGAAAACCGCTAGTTCAATCTAGAATTATTTAAAAAAGGTTTATAATAAATATTTTTGTTGCTTATTTTGTTAACAAATATTTTCATTATTTTTTTTTAATTCAAATTATTCAAACGAATTTAATATTTAAAACAAAAATGGGAAAGGATTATTATAAAATTTTGGAAGTTGACAAGAAGGCCGACGAAGAAACTCTTAAAAAAGCTTATAAAAAATTAGGCAAGTATTATTTATTGATGGATTCGGATTCCAAAAATTGCAAAAAAAAATACTCATTTATTTACTTTATAAATAATAGCACTTAAATGGCATCCAGACAGACATCAAAATGATAAAGAGCAAGCAGAAATCAAGTTCAAAGAGATAAGTGAAGCTTATGAAGTATTAAGCGATAAACAAAAAAGGGAGATTTATGATATATATGGTGAAGAAGGTCTAAAAGGTGGCGCTCCACCATCATCAAATGGTGGAGGTGGTGGTGGTTTTAGTGGCACATTCCCAGGTGGTTTTCCAGGAGGCCAAACATTCACATTCACTTCAACAGGTAAATATATGTTTTTTTTGCTTCTGATGACAAAGATTTTTGTTTTAGAATCAAACTCGTCGATACTTATTTATTTAAATTAATACAGGAGGACAAGGCGGGTTTAAACCATCAGATCCTACTTTCATATTTAATGATTTCTTTAAAAGCTTTGGTGGAAATGATGAATTTCCATTTCCTGGGTTTGGTGGTGGCAGAGGCACAAGGTTTGGCAATAAAAGATCAGCAGATATGAGTGATTTCTTTGGTAAAGGGCGTGGTGATGGCTCAGAAACACCAGAAGTTAAATATACAATTTCATTAACACTTGAAGAAATATACAAAGGTACTATCAAAAAACTTAAAGTCACTCGAAAGATAATTGATGGTCCAACTGGTAAACAAGTACCAACTGACAAAATTTTGGAAATCAATGTGAGACCTGGCTTGAAAGCTGGTACAAAATTCAGATTCCCAAATGCAGGTGATGAATTACCAACTGGTGGGTCACAAGATATTGTTGTGATCTTGGAAGAAAAGCCTCATCCGATATTCACAAGGAATGGTGATGATTTATCAATAAAAATCACATTAACTTTACTTGAAGCTCTTACAGGCTTCAAGAAAACCATACAAACTTTAGATGGTAGAACATTGGCAATATCTAATTACACTAGTGTTATAAAGCCTGGTCAAGAACAAAGATTTGCAAATGAAGGCATGCCAACTAAAGAACCAACGAAAAAAGGTGATTTAGTAATAAAATATGAAGTTAAATTCCCTATCAAATTAACTGATCAACAAAAACAAGAACTCAAGAAGGTTTTAGCAGGAGTTTCATAGACATTTTATTTATAATAATTAATCTATTATCGTATATTATTGTGATTATTATATGGGGCATGCTGCAACAAAACCAGACAAAATGAACATTGGTGTTGTAAACGTTCAAATAATTAAAATAATTATCACTAATTATTTAACAATGTCAATGAATAGGTAATTTAATGGTTGTTAAATTACTTAATTTATTTGAATTTAGTTTCTTTAAATAATAAAATTACAATTCTTAAAATACAAATATAGATCATGTAAATAATAAATAAAATAAATAATATTATAATCTCTATATTGTATGGGAGCTTATAGACTTCCCAGGTATATGACCTCCGTACCAAAATTGAGTTGCATAAGATACAAGGATTATAACTGCGGAAATTTTAGACATTGTTTATTTTAGTACAATAACGAGATATATACAAGGCTTGAAATATTCACCGGGTTTTCGTTGTAACCAAGTTATGCTGTATTATAAAGTTTCTATTAATATAAATCCTTGAATTAATCATTTTATTCGAATTGTTCGTTTATTCAAATTATTTTTTTTTTTAATTTTTTTGTTTTATTCGTTTAATTTGTTTACTTATTTTATTCGTTTTATTCAAATTACTTGTTTTGTTCGTTTTTATTCGTTTATTCGTTTTATTCATTTTATTTGTTTTATTCGCTTTATCGAATTATTTGTTTTATCGAACTATCCATTAGAAACCTATCTATTGCTATTGTATTAGTATGATATAATTTTTTAACACACTATAAATGCTAGGTATAAGTGTCAATCCGGGTCAGGTTGGGTCATCTACAATTTACTAAATATTAATTTTCATCTTTTATCACTTGTCACGAGGTGTGATCTACATTTTAATTAATGATCACTCGCATCTTCAACGTTACTTGATAAAAGCATTTGTTTTAAAAAAATGTCTAAAGAGTATGTTCCTGGCTCCTTAATTAAAACTTTATTAGGAGAGAAAGTTAAAAAAGTAGATGATAAACTTGATGCGTTATTCAAAAATAGCGTAAGTTAGATTATCATCAAGATTTTTTTTTGTAAATTTTGCCAATTATTGATTACTTTTTTTGAAAATAGGCAGGTCCAGCGAAACTACCTCGAATCAGGTTGAATGAAACAATAATTACTAATAATCCTGATAATAATGTTAATAATGGAAAGGAATGGAAGAATAAAAGTGAAATTAATATTTCTAATGCAAAAAACATTGATAAAATTAAGAATAAAGATGATAAACAAAATTTATCAAATGTAAAAACAAAGAAAAGGGATAAAAATAAAGAAGAACCTCTGTTGAAAGCCAAAGTTAAATTTAAATCAAATAGAAAAATTATAAATAGCAAAGGAAAAGATATTGAAAAAATATACGATAGATTAGGAAAATTCAAAAAGCATTTAAATGATCAATCTATTGATAATGATTATGATATTATTAATAAACATAAACATACCGCTGAAGCTAATCAGAATAATAATTCACGTAAAAGGCCAAAGACTTCTTCTCTTACCACTACTTCAAAAAAATCAGCCAAGACACAAAAAAATCATGTTAATGAGAACAACATGGGTGATGATTATGATTATGAAATTAGCGAAGATGATATGGAAAATATGGATGATAATAGTGATAATGAGATGAGTGTAGAAAACGGCAATAATGAGTATGATAATGAAACTAGTAAAGATGATATAGAAGAAGAGGAATATGATGATAATGATAGGATTAGTGAAGAAGAAAAGGATATTGTAGAACCACTATCAAAACCAATTAATAAAAATGACCCAGAACAATCAGAACGAACCATCTTTATTGGAAATTTACCGGTTTCTGTTATTCAAAAGGTAATTTCTTTTTCATATAAATATATAGTATTTTAATATTTCTAAACTCTTAATTAAAATTTAGGAAAATTTTAAAAAATTAAAATCTCAATTTTCTATATTTGGTAAAATTGAAAGTATTCGTTTTCGATCAATTGTAAGTATAATCTTTTTTTTTCCAAGAGAACAATTTGAGATACTTCTCTTCTCATTTCTAATTTTTAATTATTATATTTTCAAAAAAATTTATCAAAAGGCATTTTCTGAACCTCTTCCTCGTAAAATTTCATTCATTACAAAAAAATTACATCCAAAACGTGATATACTCAATGCATATATTTTATATAAAGAGAAATCTTCTGTTGAAGATTCTTTATTGATGAATGCCAAAATTTTTATGGACAAACATATTCGTGTAGACTCTGTAGCAAATCCACAGGTACATTTTCAACAAATGATAATATAATAATAACAACATATTAACAATTTACATTATTATAATATTAGAAACAAGATAAAAAATTGTGTGTATTTATTGGTAGTTTGGATTTTGAGGCACAGGAGGAAGAATTATGGCAACATTTTAAAAATTGTGGTGATATTGATTATGTTAGGATTGTTAGAGATGCTAAAACTAATTTGGGTAAAGGTTTTGCTTATATACAATTTAAGGTGAGATTATAATATTATTTATTTTATTTATTATTTACATGATCTATATTTGTATTTTAAGAATT